CGCTCTGTTGCCCAGGCTGCAGTGCTGTGGCACCATTTCAGCTCACTGCATCCTCTGCCTCCTGGGTTCAAGCAATTCTCCTGCCTCAGCCTCCCAAGTAACTAGGACTACAAGTGGACACCACCATGCCCAACTAATTTTTGTAATTTTAGTAGAAATGGTGTTTCACTATGTTGGCCAGGCTGCTCTTGAACTCCCGACCTCATGATCCACCCGCCTAGGCCTCTCAAAGTGCTGGGATTACAGGCGTGAGCCAATGTGCCCAGCTGGAAGTCCACACTTTTTATTAAAGGATGATGAAACCTAAAATTGAGAAGCAGTACCTTGCTACTCTCCTCTTGCTATGGACACCCTTGTAGCAGTAGCTCCTTCCTTCTCTTCCTCCTCTATCTCCTCCCCTCTTCAGCTGACATCTCCCAACTCCCTCTGTGCTTAGCTTCATTAGTTAAAAGGAGCTCTGTCTGTGGTATCACAGTGACTCCTGTCCCCAACTCAACACCATCACAGGTAAGCATAGCTGGACCACAGGAACGATGGGGAAAAGAAGTCTCTAGAACTCAAAGCCAAGTCATTAGCAATTGGCTGGCTAGTCTTCTGTCTTTAAGAGTTAGAGGTGAGGGCCGGGCGCGGTGGCTCAAGCCTGTAATCCCAGCACTTTGGGAGGCCGAGACGGGCGGATCACGAGATCAGGAGATCGAGACCATCCTGGCGAACACGGTGAAACCCCGTCTCTACTAAAATATGCAAAAAAAACTAGACGGGCGCGGTGGCGGGCGCCTGTTGTGCCAGCTACTCGGGAGGCTGAGGCAGGAGAATGGCATGAACCCGGGAGGCGGAGCTTGCAGTGAGCTGAGATCCAGCCACTGCACTCCAGCCTGGGCGACAGAGCAAGACTCCGTCTCAAAAAAAAAAAAAAAAAAAAGAGTTAGAGGTGAGAAGATGAACTTTAAAAATCACTTTTTGGGCTTTCAGGATGGTTTAGGGTAGTGATCCCTGCCATGAAAACTCCCTTTCCTTTGTCCTGTGAGATGTCTATATTGTCAGGTGGGGGGTTAGGGGAGACAGGGGACTCTACAGGTGGGTAAAAGTCATCAATGACATCAGAGAGCCAACTGTCAGGTCTCTTTATACTTAAATAATCTTTAGGCTTCAGAAACCATGAAAAGTACATATGCTATTTCTGATGTATCATTCTTAGTTCAAATCCAGGCTCATGCAGTAAAGAGGAGGAGGTATGTTTTGGATATTTTCTAAGGCAGAGTTCCAAATCATTTCTATATGGCTGTAAGTACATAATGAGGTTATTTTGCAAGATATATTTGCCTTTCTACTTCTGCTCTGTGACAATATGGGATTATAAAATAAATTTATAAAATGCCCTTAGAATACACTGTGTGACTATTGTTGTTGTTGTTGTTGTTTTCCTAGCCGTTCTGTTTCTGTCTTGCCAGACTCATGCTGAAAGAGTCATCTTCCTTGGATGCAGATCCCCTGGTAAAGGGAGGGAGGGCAGGGCAGCCCAGAAACATTCTGGGAAAGTTGAATGGGAATAAACATTTGCGGTGGAAAATTCAGGGTTGATTTTCGTGGATCATCAAAAGTAGACCCTCTGCAGCCACTGGTAACTACTGAAGGGTTTTTGGAACAGCAGCTTTTGGTCAGTGTGAACACACAGTGTGCAGGCCTGGCCCCAGGGCAAAAACAAACACAGCCCTGAGATCTGCTTCCGGGGCAGGAGATGAGACTGAGGTTAATGTTGTACGACGACTAATTTGCAACGCAGAAAATCTACCAATGGGGATGGATTCACAGTCTCACATTTTATGACCCATAGGTTCATAGACCATTTCATATTCATTTATCAAGCAAGTGTTTATTAAGCACTTCATCTCTTAGGCACTATGCTAGGAGGTGCCAGAGTTACGTTTACATCAAAAAACAGAAAAGACAGCTTCCAGCCCTCATGGCCCTTAAAAACAAGTGAGAGAGATGGACAATAGGCTCAACGGCATTTAGTGCTGTAACGGGGGCAGCACTTCCAGGATGCTGTATGAGAGGAGGAACAGCCAATTCTGATTTAGGAGATTATGGAAGATTTCTTGGAGGAAGTGATGTTGAGACTGAGAGCGGAGGGATTAGCAGAAGTTAGCTAGGTCATAGGAGTGAGGGGTGGGGTGGCAGGGAGAATTTCAGGCAGAGAACAGGATGCACCTTCTCCGGGGTATATGGATATATTTGACATCTAATTATTTTTGTTTTTAGAATTACCTGTTCAGTGTTTATAATCTCCTAGCACATCTGTGCCAAACAGAGCTAAGAAGTACTCTGGACCAGGGTTTTCAAAAATATCTGCTGGTTCTTCAGTTCTGGAAGGTTTGCAAAATTCTGATGTGACTTTTATTTCTAAGTGCTATTTAATTTTTTTAAAGTAAAAAATTTTATTTTAGGACAGTTTTAGATTGCTATTTAATTTTTAAGTTTAAATTTCAAGCCGAGTATGGTGGCTCACACCTGTAATCCCAGCACTTTGGGAGGCTGATGTGGTCAGATCATGAGGTCAGGAGCTTGAGACCAGCCTGACCAACAGGATGAAGCCCCGTTTCTACTAAAAATACAAAAATTAGCCGAGCATGGTGGCACACGCCTGTAGTCCCAGCTACAGGAGGCTGAGGCAGGAGACTCGCTTGAACCCTGGAGGTAGAGGTTGCAGTGAGCCAAGATCATGTCACTGCACTCCAGCCTGGGCGACACAGTGAGACTCTGTCTCAAAATAAATAAATAAATAAATAAATAAATAAATAAAATAAATTTCAAACTAATTTCAAAGTTACAGAAAAGTTGTGAGGATAGTACAAAAGAAAATCCCCTCAAAAGTCCCATATATTTTTAACGACTTTACCAGTTGTTAGTATTTTGCATCATTTGTTTTAATCATTTATATGTCTACCAACATATATCCATACCCTCCTTCCACCTCCTCATCTCCTTATTATTATTTTTATTATTCTTGCCAAACAGTTTGAGACATCATTTTACTCCTAAATACTTTAGCAGATATCTGCTAGAAACAAGGACATTATCTTGCAGAATCCCAGTAAAATGATCAAGTTCAGAAAAACTAACATTGATACTATTCTACTATCTAACATCGAGTCCATATTTGAATTTCACCAATTATCCCAATAATGTCCTTTACACTTTTCTGGTTGGAGATCCAGTCCAGAATCACACATTGCCTTTAACTGTGATGTGCCTCAGCCTCTTTGTCTTTCACACCATTGATATTTTTGAAGAATACAGGTCAATTGTTTTGTAGGATGTCCCTTAATGTGAGTTTGTTTGATGTTTCTTCATGATTAGATTCCATTTATGTATTTTTAGCAGGTCAATGATACGTGTCTTTTTCAGGAGATCACATCAGGAGGCTCATGGTGTCTGTGCGTCTCATGATTGGGGATATAAACTTATTTGTTTTATTTTTAGTATATTTTAAACTGTAACAAAAACATGCATCTCCAAATGTGTTTCTACTCAAATTTTGTCACAGCGAACGTGCATAATGAGCTAATCTGCTCTAGGTTACCTCGATTGAATACAGACCTCAGCATTCTGTCTCTCCTGCCAGCTTTGCATATACCTGAACTTTGCTCAAGTGTGCCATTGATTAATAAGGTTGTAACTGCACATTGGCCTCGAAATGCTGAATGTAAAGTTGTATGGGTAACAAATTACTGTGTAGTTATACAAACCAGAATTTCCTTGACACTGTACAATAAAAACAACATACAAAAGTAAACTGGAATCCTGAGGCTAATAGTGAGCCCCATTGAAAGATTTGGGTTCATCAAGAGAGCATCAATGCCTAATTTTACATTAATTTGGACTTAAACAAGAAATTAATAAAATACCCTTTGCATATGTTTTATATGTGTTTTATATGTTGGGTTCCTATATAAGATGTTGATTAAAATCAGGATCTCTTACTTTGGCCATTTGGAAACCACATTGTATCCCACCATAGCTCCTACCCACTGTACAATTTCTGCAACCCTCTCAGTCTGCAAGCCTTGATGTTTCTTTTCCTGGAACCTGGAATTTTGCCCTAATTTTTAACACCCACAAGGGCTCAGGGAACACACACATGTAATTTACCAATAGGTTTTGGGGTGTGGTCCCTGGATACTCCAAAGTCACACAGTTCGAGATTTCTTTCTTTCCGTTTTGAAGTTCAGTTCTGCTTATGTTTAAACATGCCAATACAAACATTAGGAATACAGCCATACCCTATGCAATAACCTACTTAGCCACTGACCGACATCTCCACAAATGACCCAACCATAGGTCAGTCCTACCTTATTCCAGAGCTTTTATTCCACGAATGAGGACACTGAGATCCAGACAGGTGGATCTCCTCCTTCTGAAGGACAGCTGCTAACGTAGTCAGATGCAGCCCAGCTCTGCTGGTGCCAGGGTTTGGGGTGGTTTTCTGATGTCAAAGGCAGTCCCTCAGGAGGTGACAAAGCCACTTTCCTTTCTCTTGGCAAGCGTGGGTGGCTGGCAGCTGAAGCAGGCCTTGGGCAAGGTCCTTCAGTCTGGTTTACTCATCTCAAACTCACGCAGAGTTGAAGCCCAGCCAGGTCCTTGGAGGCCTCTAGATTTCCTAGTAGATTTTGTAATAGAAGATGTCCTAACAGAAACACAGGACTGAATAAATGTAGATACCTTAGAAAGTCATTTATTTAAAAAAATAGCTGGGCATGGTATCATACACCTGTAGTCCTAGCTGCTCGGGAGGTTGAGGCTGGAGGATTGCTTGAGCCCAGGAGTTTGAGGTTGCAGTGAGCTGTGATTTCACCATTGCACTCCAGCCTGGGTGACAGAGGGATAATTTGTCTCTAGAAAAAGAAAAAAAAAAAAAAAAAAGAAAAGAAAAGAAAAGTCATTTGTAGTATATTTTCCTTGGGAAAACTCATTCTAAGTTCAAAAACAATTTTCCAAGCTCAACCAATGTGTCAATAAATTGGAGACTACTTACAACTCACTTCATTCCATTGAACCAATATGGATTTCATATTTATATATGCAAAGTAGTACAATAGCTATTTGGTGGATGCCCAAAGGATGGTCCCATGCTCAAGTCATCTGCAATAATCCTGGAGAGATGATACATAGATATATTAAAAACTTAATAATCATACAAGGTCATGTCTGATGACATGCTCGGATGAGTGGAAGAGAAAATGGGCCATTGGAGATTGGAGGTAGTCAGACGTGGTTGAACGCTGCGGCTCCTAAGTCAAATGACCTGCGTAAAACCGCAGCTGCTCCACTTCCTAGTCGTGTGGAAAGTTTGTTAAAAGTTCTCTAAGGCGCTGAGAACAACTCTGGGCATTTTTGGTGCCTCCAAAATGTTAGCCATTATTATTATCTTTCAGTCTGTGCTTGAACCACCACTTCAAAAATGGGCAGGGTGTGAGTAGAGAGGCGGGAGTGGGTTTTGGAGCAGGGTGACAGAATCATACTGAATTGTCCTCGCGAAAAGCTCCACGAACTACTTTTCTTTTTTATTTATTTATTTATTTATTTATTTTATTATTATTATACTTTAAGTTCTAGGGTACATGTGCATAACGTGCAGGTTTGTTACATATGTATACTTGTGCCATGTTGCTGTGCTGCACCCATCAACTCGTCAGCACCCATCGACTCCTCATTTACATCAGGTATAACTCCCAATGCAATCCCTTCCCCCTCCCCCCTCCCCATGATAGGCCCCGGTGTGTGATGTTCCCCTTCCCGAGTCCAAGTGATCTCATTGTTCAGTTCCCACCTATGAGTGAGAACATGCGGTGTTTGGTTTTCTGTTCTTGTGATAGTTTGCTAAGAATGATGGTTTCCAGCTGCATCCATGTCCCTACAAAGGACACAAACTCATCCTTTTTTATGGCTGCATAGTATTCCATGGTGTATATGTGCCACCTTTTCTAACTTTGTTGGCAGCTACCAAGTGTGCGCGGCAGGCGGCCATCCTCTTGGCCGCCTGAGATCCCAGCGCCTGTCCCCAGGGGGCGCTGCCGCCCAGCTGCCGCCGCCCGGCCCAGCGCGCGTCCCCGCCGCCCACCCGCGCGTGCGCGCCGCCCAGGTGAAGAGGCGGTGGCCAGGGCCGCGGCTGGGGCGGGCTCCTCAGTGGGCCAGGCGGGGCGGAGTCGGGAGGCCTGGGCGGGGCGGAGCCGGGGCGAGCCCCAGGCCGGAGGCGGGACCAGTCGCCGCCGTCTCTGTCTCGGTGTCCCGGCCCCTACAGCGCCCGGCAGCCGCGGCGGGAGGAGCGGAAACTGCCGGGTGCGTCCCGTACGGAGCCGCGCCGGCCAAGAAGGCGCCGAGGAGCAGCGGGGCGGCCTCCGTCCGGCCCGGACCCGCCGAGCGGCGTGCGCGCCCCCTCCCCGTAGCCTCGCGGCGAGGCCTCGCCCCGGCCCCTCCCGAGCACATCGCGGGCCCCCGGAGCGGCCCCGGCGGCCCGAGCGCGCCCACCTGAGTCCCCGCGCCGGCGCCATGGCGGAGCAGGAGAGCCTGGAGTTCGGCAAGGCGGACTTCGTGCTGATGGACACCGTCTCCATGCCCGAGTTCATGGCCAACCTCAGGCTCAGGTGAGGGCGGAGCGGCCGCGCGCAGGGGCGCGAGGCTGCGCTTTCCCGAGAGGGGGCGCCTCCGGGCGAGGCCGGATCCGGGGTGTCGGGGGGCGCCCAAGCTCCAGGGATGGAGGGGCGGCCGGGCTGCCGTGTCCGGGGATCTGCCGAGCTCCGCAGCTGCGCTTGCCCGAGAGCGGACGCCCCTGGGGTGCGGCCGCTTTGGGGTGCGGGGGGCGTGTCGAGCTCAAGGGCCGGGCTTCCCTGAGAGGGGAGCCCTGGGCGCTGTCCTGGGTTTGGGTGCAGGGGGTGTGCCGCGCGGAGGGCGCACTTCCCCGCGCCAGGTGAGGGATGTGGACGGGCCGGTGACCTCGTGGAAACTGAAGGGAAATAACTTGAGCGAGAGTTGCGGTGGCCCCGAAGGCCCTAGGAGGACTCAGGGTTATTTTAGAGAGAGGCTGGCGTCTCGTCCCGGCTTTACACTTGCTTCTTTTCTTTCTTTCTTCGCCACCCCCCCGCCCCGCCTTTTTTTTTTTCTCCTGGCGTAGTTCCATCCTGTCATTCAGGATGCTATGGAGTGATCCCCGAGCTGTCTGTTCCGGGACACTGGCTATTTTTTTAGTTACTCTCTAAACGTAATTAGACACGTTTCCAGACATCGAAGAGACTGGTGTACTTGCCAGTGCCAAGATAAACTGTCTGAATTTGACAAGACGTTCATGGCTTTGGTTTTTTTCAAGGAGTTAGTGGATGGAGCCCTTGTGTTACTGACATCCTTGAGAACGTAGTCACAACTCATCGCCCCAAAATGGGCTTCCAAGATGTGAATTTGTTTTAGAAAGCCCTTTACATGGGATTATTTCACCCTTGATAGAGTAATATGTAAACAGTTTTAGTTTGACTTAAACGTTAAAGTAAGTGGAGTTTCAAAATAGCTGAGTTTTGGTGTGCGTGTATGTGTTTCCCTGCAAGCTTTGGCTCCATTTCTTCTAAGGTTTATAGCTAAACATCACTCCTTAAACTTATAAAATGGAAAATCATAATCTAGGCTTGGGTGCTTAACCCTACTTGCAGTTTTAACTACCTCTGTCAATCCAGTTGACAGGGGTCAATCAGATTTATTACATACCAGCATAATGATAGGATGTTACATTTCTGATCAAGTTTTGGATGCACAACTTTTATAGAAATCACCTCAAATATTAATCAAAATAACATACTTCTACATCAGCTATAACCAATACCCATTATCATAGTGATTAAGAGTCTGATTGTTGAGATTAAAATTCTAGTTCTACTACATTTTTGCTGTGATTTTTGAGCAAGTTACTTAACCTCTCTGTGCCTCAGTCTTCTTGTCTGTAGGATTGGGTTTGTCCTGAGGGTTAAATGAATTATTAATAATATGTGTTTGTAACTTCAAAGATTAGTGCCTGGCAAATCCATATTAGCAAAACTGTTTTAAGTTTTCCCAAGTGCACGTAAAATAGATAAAGGGGTAAGTTACATAGCAATTTCATAGATTAAGGTTGTTTTAAATTAAGAGATTCTACTCCCCTGCCCCCAGGAAATAAGTTGTGTGCTTTGAGAAATGCCTTTATAATTTTGTCACTCTTGGCTTATAATCATTTCAGATTTTCAGACATTGGTACATTTATTATGTACATATTGTATACAAGACACTAGTAATAGTTGAATATGGAGCCATTCATTTTAACCTCCATCTGTCACCTGCAGCAAATACATGACCTCAGCCAGAGCTTTTGCAGAATTTTCAGAATTTGAAATTGAAGGCATAGAGTCTAACAGGGCTACATTAGTTTGTAGGACTACTCCTCTGCAATAGAATTGAAACTCATGTGGTTTTTTAATAAGTAAATTGAGGGAAGGCACTTAGAATTTCTGCTTTTTTTTTTTCCTAAAGCATTAAGTCTCTTAAGTGTGAGGTTTGAATCTCAAGATAGATTACTAAGGTGAGGCTAACAACTCCTATGTGTAGAGAAGAGAATGCTGCAATTTTTTAATACTTATATTTTTTAGAGATGGGGTCTTGCTATGTTGACCAGACTGTTCTTGAATTTCTGGCCTCAAGCAATCCTCCCATCTTGGCCTCCCAAAGCACTAGGATTATAGGTGTGAGCCACAACGCCCAGCTGAATACTGCAATTTAATTCTACTGTGTGCAAGGTACTCTAGGAGATAAGCTAGGAGGATCCAAAGAACTACAAGATGTGCTCCTTACCTCTCAAAGGGGCGAATCTCAATGAAGACGTGGAGAAAGGTGGAATTTTCTAGGGGGTGATTTAAAGAATAGTTTAAGAAAACAACATCAGGAGGCTGAGACAGGAGGATTGTGTCAGTCCAGGAGTTCAAAGCTGCCATAAGCAGCTTTGATCACACCGCTGTACTCCAGCCTGTATAATAGAGCATGACCCTGTCTCTTAGAAGAAAAAGGAGAGAGAGAGAGAGAGAGAGAGAGAGAGGGAGAGAGAGAGAGAGAGAGAGAGAGAGAGAGAGAGAGAGAGAGAGAGAGAAAGGAAGGAAGGAAAGAAAAGAAAAGAGAAAGAAAGGAAAAGAAAGAGAAGATAAAAGCCTTATAAAGCTTAGGTGATTATTTGTCAAGTGATTATATAAATTGTTCTGTAAGTTCAGAAGAGAGAGAGATGCCTTAGATTGACTCCAAAACACCTTATAGAGGAAGAGAGGAGTTGAGCTGAGTTCCAATGGGTGGGTAAGATTTGTAAAGCTAGACACGTGGCTGGAGAGCATTCCAGGTGGTTTAAGCAGCATGAGCAGGGGTTGGCGGCATGAAAGCTGACTCTGGGTGACAGTGAATAAGCTAAGTTGTTTGGAAGGGAAGGGGTTGGTGTTATGGAGATGTGGGAGGAATCACCAGCTCTCCACATGGCCAGTGGCTAAGGCCCAGGTTTTTAGGTCTACCTTTATACCCAATCTCCACATCATTCAAGATCCTGGGTGTACAGATGTATATGTATTTGTACATATCTCATCTGTGTGTCCTTGATGACTCTGAGAATTGGCTGTGGTTCTCATCATACAGATCAGTGATTATTCATGACTTACTTATAAATTAAAGTAGTTGGTTCACTGTAGTCATAAACACAGTGCCAGCAAAGGGTAGCACCCTTACCCTCCTCTCAAACTATAAATTCTGGCCCAGACAGAAAGCCGTCCTCTCTTTCCTTTCACTTTGCAGAAGGTGACCAGAAACCCACCACTGCATAATCCAGATGCTATTCTGTGATGCTGAAGTGTTTTTGTCTCCTGGAATATTGGTGGTTGGGCACATGTCTGGTTGTACATAGCTGAAATTGAACGTGTTTGGTCCATTGGTGGATATGGGTATGTGAGTGAAATTCCTATGTGTGCTTATACCTCATGACTCCTGCCCTCCCAAGCTGCAGTTCCTGCTCTTACTCCCCAGTCTGGAATGTCCTGTCCTCCCTTCCCACCTGGCTCTTCTGCAAGGCCTGTTTCCTTCCTTTAAGGCGTGTAATAGTCAAGCACTCAAGGCTGCAGGTGCTTCATGGGTCTGTGTTTTCTCAATAGCAGCACCTAGCGCAGTGCTGGGTACAGAGTACCTTCCTTTGTGGCAACTTTTTTTTGAAGAGGGAAAAAAAAGTTACTTTTTTTTTTAAAGCTTACGTGGCATTGTCCTTTTAGAATTATCTTCTTCTTTTGCTATTAATCTGGCCTTCTTTTTCCCTCTTGGAGCTAAAGCTTGATTTTTAGACAACTGCCACAATTGACGGAATTTTCTCCTACCATTTTTACTTTAAAAAATTGACCTAGATATGTGTCTGGATGGGGCAAGAGTAAAAGAGTGATGTGGATTAGTGCGAGTTAGGATATCTGAGAAGGAGCTTCAACTTATATTTCTTGCTTTATAACAAAACCTGCTTGTATTGTGAGGGCTCCTTCTTTCCCTCCCAGAAGTCTCTTGTTGGGGGATATTTCTTTTGCCTTTTTGGTGGAGGTGGTGGTGGTAAGTTCCTCATTCCAGTTTCCAAGGATCTCTGCCCAGGAGTAAGACTCCTGTATGAGTCCTGCCTGCTTCCATGGTCAGGAGCAGCTCCTGCCAGCAACCCTGATGACCAGTTGAAGCCCAAACCACAGCATCCCTGTCCTACCATGTTCTGCTTTCTCTGTAGCCACTTCGTTTTTAGATGTGGAGCTCGTTGGTTCCTTTTCTCCTTGCTTGGACCATTCCTATACATGAGTTCTTCCAGCATTAACATCAGCTTTGCATCCTCCCTCTGAAAGTCCTGCCAGGGCAAGCTGCTTGCATCTTCTCAGTGTGCTCCTTACTCTGCACACTCCTCACTCTCAGTTAGCCATGTGCATGAAAGGAAGAATACAGGCTACTTGCTCAGCAGTGGACTTGAGCCGTGGACGGTGTCCTTGACAGAAATGCTTTCCATTTTATAGGACAATGAAATATACGTTAGGCTTCCAGAGGTCCAGTTTCTTAACTTGCTTTGTTATTGGTTCCTGTTTTGAGAATAAAGCATCTATTCAGCCTTATATCTTGGCTTCTCAGAAAGTTAATTTTTCCCCCTCTCTTTTCTTAATGGGTTTTGTCTTCCATAAAAGGAATCATTTGAAGCACTGTGCGTGCCAAAGCTCCATGCAACTCCTCATTTTTAACCTAACACAGCATGTATTTTGTACCTTTGCTTAGGCCTGTGATTTTCAGCCTTGTCACTAGTGACATTTTAGACTTTTGTAGGGGCTGTCCTGTGTGTTGTAGGATGTTTAGCAGCATCTCTGGCCTCTATTCACCAGATGTCAACAACTCCACTCCTCTTTCGTTTATGACAACCAAAAATGTCTCTAGACATTGACACAAGTCCTTGGAGGAGGGGTTGTGTGTGGGTGGGTGTGTTTGTGCTCACACACATGCAATATTGTCCCTAGCTGCGAGCCACTGACCCTTACTGTTTTCACCCCCTGGAATGTCCTCCTTTCATCATCTCTGCCCTCATTCTCTGCCTGCCATACTCTTACTCATCCTTCAAGACCGGATGTGAGAAATCTTTCCCAATCCCCCAAAACAGGTCAATGTCACGTTCTCATGTGCTCTCAGGATACGTGGACGTTTATTCGTAATGGAGAATTTATCATATTCATAGGTTGCTTCCTCATCAACCTATGGAATCATAATGCTTGGGGGCAATCACCTTTAAGAAAAACAATGTAAATCATGAGTGCAGAATTAGATGCAAGGCTTTGGAAGGGGAAGGTGCAAGTGAGTGACTGTGAAGCAAACCTACCTTTAATGCTTTTGTGTTTTCTGTGATGCTACAGAATTTGCCCTCCCCCATGTTTAATACATCTTAAAATGAATTAACTGAGTACTCAAATGTTGGCTCATTGTTCTTCAACCAGTGGAATTCTTTCTTTCTTTTTTTTTTTTCTTTCGCATACAATCTTCTCAAAATATTGTACTTTAATAGAACTTAACTGTGTTTTGGGGCAGTGAGTTATAGATTAGAAGAAAGACAGGAAACAGACACACACACACTCACCACACCACCCCTGTATTCTTTCTCTGTGGCTGTTTGGTCGTTTGGAAAATTTGGTGGGACAAAGGGTTTCTCTTGCTTGCCAGGGGAAAAAAAAACCATAGATACCCTGGGTGGTCTTCAAGT